CAGATAGATAACATCCATTGGTGCTCCTTGATCTAATCTGCTTGTTACCTCCTCAAACAGATTTACCAAGCATGATCTCCCCTTGATGAAACCATGCTGACTGTGCCCTATTTTACCAAGCATTTACAAATATTCAGAAATCTCATCCTTCACAATGGACTCGAATCTTACCAACAACTGAAGTCCGGCTAATCAGCCTATAATTTTTTGTCTTTTACCTTGCTCCCTCCTTAACCGGGGCTTGGGGGGTGCGGGTTTATTAGCGATTTTGCAGTCCTCTCGGACCCTCCCTGATTCCAATGATCCCTGAAAGATCACCACTAATGCCTCCACCATCTCTTCAGCTGTCTCCTTCAGAGACCTTTGAATCTGACTTTGGTTGTGGGTAATTTGTTGAAAGCGATTATTAAAAAAAAAAAAAATTGGATTTATAGACTTTTGGAGAGGTAGAAATTCATTAGGTATAGTCAGCATGTTTTTGTGCAAGGAAAATCGTGTCTCACAAACTTGATTGAGTTTTTTGAATAAGCTATCAAATAGATTGATGAGGGCAGAGCAGTAAATGCTGTTTACTTGGACTTTAGTAAAGCCTTTGACAAAGTTCCACATGGTAGACTAAGTAGTAAAGCTAGGTCACATGGGATTCAGGTGAGCTTGCAGATTGGTTACATAATTGGCTTAACGGCAGGACACCGAGTAATGATGGAGGATTGCTTTTCGGACTGGAGGCCTGTGACCTGTGGTGTTCCACAGAGATCAGTCCTGGGTCCTCATTTTGTCATTTATATTAACGATTTGGATGAGAATCCAGAAGGCACAGTTAGTAAGTTTGCAGATGACACCACAACAGTGATAGTGAAGAGGGTTATCCAAGATTACAAAGAGATCTCGATCAGTTGGGTCAATGGGCTGATAAGTGGCAGCTGGAGTTTAATTTGGATAAATGCAAGGTATTGCATTTTCGTAAAACAAACAAAGGCAGGACTTGTATAGTTAAAAGTAGGGCCTTGGTTAGTGTTGTAGAACAGAGAGATCTAGGAGTTCAGGTATATAATTCTTTGAAGTTTTCATGACACATAGATAAGGGTGGTTAAGGAGGCATTTAGCATACTTGCTTTCATTGCTCCGACCTTTTGAGTATAGGAGTTGGCATGCTGTGTTGAGGTTGCACAGGACATTGGAGAGGCCTCTTCTGGAATACTGTGTCCAGTTCTAGTTCCCAGTTATAGAAGGATATTATTAAGGTGGAGAGAATTCAGAAGAGATTACCAGGATGTTGCCAGTTATGGAAGGTTTGAGTTATAAGGAAAGGCTGGACAGGCCAGGAGTTTCTTCACTGGAGCATATGAGGTTGAGAGGAAACGTTATAGAAGTTTATAAAATAATGAGGGGTATAAGTAGAGTTAATGGTAGTTGTCTTTTCCCTAGGATGAGTGATTTCAAGACTAGTGGGCACATTTTTACGGTATGAGAAGAGAGATTTTAAAAAAGACATGGGCAAATTTTGTACACAGAGGGTGGTTCGCGTTTGGAATGAACTTCCTGAAGAAGTGGTGGATGTTGGTACAGTTACAACATTTTAAAGACATTTGAATAACTACATGAATGGGAAGGGTCTGGAGGGAAGTTGGACTAGTTTAATTTGTGATTATGTTCGGCATGGACTGGTTGGATCAAAGGGTCTGTTTCCATGCTGTATGACTGTATGACTCTATGACTCCATTACAAAAACAGGCTATTCAACCCTTCAAGCTTGCTACACCAGTTATTATAATTCATTGTTAATGTTCAATTTCAAATCCATCTTACTGATTATTTTTGCCCATAAAAATCAGAACAAATCCAACCTGACACATTACTGCCCCTTCAGTCTACTCTCAATCATCAGTAAAATGATGGGAGGTATCATCAGTAGTGTTATCAAACAGCACTTGCTCAGTAATGCCCAGTTTGGGTTAGCTCCTGACCTGATTGCAGCCTTGGTTGAAACATGAACAACAGAGCTAAATTCTAGAGATGAGTTAAGAGTGACAACCCTTGACATCAAGGCTGCATTTCACCAAGCATGGCATCAAGGAGCTCTAGCAAAATTGGAATCAATGGGTATCAGGGAACACCCTCTCCAAGGGCTGGGGTCATATCTGACACATAGGAAGATGATCGTAGTTGTTGGAGGTTGGTCATCTCGGCTCCAGGACATCTCTACAGGAGTTCCTCAGGGTAGTGTCCAAGGCCTAAAAATCTTTAGCTGCTTCATCAATGACTTTCCCTCTATCATAAAGTCTGAAGTGGGAATGTTTGCCGATGATTGTGCAATGTTCAGCACCGTTCACAACTCCTCAGATACTGAAACAGTCCGTCTTCAAATGCAACAAGATCTGGACAATATCCAGGCTCGGGCTGACAAGTGGCAAGTATCATTTGTGCCACACAAATGCCAGGCTATGACCGTCACCAATAAGAGATAATCTAACCACTGCTACTTGACAGTCAATGGTGTTACCATCACTGAATTCCCCGACTATCAACATCCTGGGCATTATCATTCCAGAAACTGAATTGGACTCACCACATAAACATTGTGGCTACAAGAGCAGATCAAAAGCTATGAGTACTGCGGCGAGTAACTCAGCTACTGACTCCTCAAAGCATGCCTACCAGCTATCGGGCACAAGTCAGGAGTATGATGGAATACTCCCCACTTGCCTGGATGAGTGTAGTCCCAATAAGAAGCTTGATACCATCCAGAACAAAGCAAGCCAGTTGATTAGCACTACATCCATAAGTATCCACTCCCTCCAACACTGATGCTCAGTAACAGCAGTGTGTACTATCTACAAAATGCGTTGCACAAATTCACTAAAGATCCTCAGACACCACCTTCCAAATCCACGACCGCTTCCATCTAGAAGGACAAGGGCATCAGACATATGGGAACACCACCACCTCGAAGTTCCCCTCCAAGCTCCTCACCATCCTGACTTGGAAATATATTGCTGTTCCTTCACTGTCGCTGGATCAGAATCCTATAATTCCCTCCCTAATGACATTGTCGGTCAACCCACAGCAGGTGGACTGCAGCGGTTCAAGAAGGTAGCTCACCACTACCTTCTCAAGGGCAACTAGGGATGGGCAAGAAATGTTGGCCCGCCAGTGATGCCCACATCTCTCAAAATGAATACATTTTTTTAAAAATTCCATGCTCTAGAAATATCTATCAGTCTCTGGCTTGATTGAGTATTCTTAGCTCTCTGGAACAGGGAGTTCAAACTCGAGTGAAGAATTTCTTCTCTCCTTTTAGTTTTAATTCTATTAAAATTATCAACCGTCACAATGATCCCAGAAAATTGCATTATGCTGCATTTAATGCAGTTAACTGGCTTGAGTAAACAAGTTGATAAATAGTGCACACAAGAATTTTACCTGAGCTTGCTAATTAATGAATTTTAAGTGAAATTTCATTGTGGGAAGTGAGGATGTCCCTTTTCAAGCCGTGATGCAGTGTATGAGAGCATTTTGGAGAGTAGCTCAAACAAGAAATCATTTAGGATTGGCCCTCAATAGCATGTTTGGCAGAATACCAATTCCCACTCTGAACATTTTGTTTAAATTTCTTGGGCAGGACCTCACCATAATGTTGATGAACAAGGTTACCGTTGGGTCTGATAACGTGATGGAACAGCTGAGGCTGCGGCTCCAGCTAAAGGAGCGAATGCTGCAGGAAGCGTTAACGGATAGAAGCACATTGACAACTGATCACGAGCAAGAGGTGACAGAGCTGCTACAAACTATCAACTCCCGTGATCAACAGATGAAGGTAAAATGCCTAAATGCTCTGTCCCTGTTTCTGTCTGACTTATTCTTTTGAAGTCTAAATATCAGACCTTTGTGTATCACGGTATGATTATATAACACGTTGATTAAGGCCTCTTTGCCCTATAAGTGCTACTTTTCAAATAACTTTGATTTATCTCCATAATTGATCTCTCAAACCTCAATAATCATGTATCCAAACTATTGACATTATTTATAACTCCAGCATTGGTCTCTAATATATATCGTTTTATGAAGAAGTATGCAATTCTGTCTCTGTTTTGGTCTCCTGGAGAAATGCACACAAAGTACTGTCACTGAAATTCTGGTTATATCTGCTTTCCAGTAACACCCTCTTGTGTTGCTGTTTCTGAAGGTTTTTTTTCGGACTAATATCCTGCAGATGTCAAGACTGTTGGCTGCACTTGCATTGACACAACGCTCTGAAAGTTTATTATGGTATAATAAGGAGAGGCATTTTTTCAATTAAGTAATCAAAACTAGGCAAAACCAATCCAGTAATGTAAGCATTGACTTAATTGCAGCTAATGTGTGTTTCGATGGAAAGAGTAAGATGGACATTTGATGAACCAGGTGGCAACATGCAGCTCAGTACTGATCCCCACTCATCATCTTGGAAAACTTTACAGTGAAGAACAAAATCAGTTGCAGTTGCAATTGTAATCAATAAATTAGTTATAGAACTGATTTTGAGTAGAACCATTTCCATTAGTGAATATGACTTTTAAACGCTCATCAGCATTGGCAAACTGACCCTCTGTTTAATTTCTTATTTAATAGGGCGGCACAGTGGCTCAGTGGTTAGCACTGCTGCCTCACGGTGCCAGGGATGCTGTGAGGCAGCAGTGCGACTGTCTGTGTGGAATTTGCACATTCTCCCCAAATCTGCGTGGGTTTCTGCCGGGTGCTCCGGTTTCCTCCCACAGTCCGATGATGTGCAGGCTCGGCGGATTGGCTGTGCCAAATTGCCCGTAGTGTTCAGGGATGTGTAGATTAGGTGGATAAGACATGGGAAATGCAGGGTTCCAGGGATAGGATAGGGGGTGGGTCTGGGTGGGATGCTCTTTGGAGGGATGGTGTGGACTTGGGCTGATTTGACCTGTTTCCATGCTGTAGGGATTCTATGATGATAATAGGCAACACCTCTAACAAAGTATTAATCGTGCACTGAAGTGACATTTTGCATCAAGTAGTGAAGTGTGGGACGCAAGCCCTAGAACGTTCGGTCACAGCAATGAGAATGTTAGCAACCAAACGCAACTGGGATGTGTAATTTGCTGCAATGGTCAGATCGAATCAGAGTTTTTGATTTCCTGTGTACTATTTTTCAGGATGCAACAGAGAAGTTGATACATACCTTTGCAGAGAAGAACCACGAGCTTCGGACATTGCGCCACCAGCTAGTGGAGAAGGATCGAGAAGCAGCAAATTTCACCAAGCAGAATGTGTCCTCATTGGAGATACCAACAGAAATAGCCCGCCTCAAAGAACTTCTTCAGGAAAAGGATCGGATAATCCATGTAAGCCCTTCAAGTATTGTTTAACAACGTATGAATCCTGCCCTATGCTGAATTCAGCAGTTCATAAAGCTTAATAGAATTCCCTTTTTGCGTAGCTAGACACAAAGAAAATTTATGGCTGTGCAAGTACAAAATGTAACTGTGTAACTAGAGGTATGTGAGTAACAATAGAGTTATCAGTCACTATAAGTTGTGCATGTATTTGTAGCAAGCCAGAACCAGAAACATTGGCAATTAAAGGTAAAGATCTACTCTATGCTGACCGTTGTTTGAGTCTGTAACTACAGTTGCTACTTCTGTAGTAAAATGACCTTACTGTAGTATTGATGGGCCGATCTGGGGAGAAGGCTGATATATCAATGACCATAAGATACAGGAGCCGAATTAGACCATTTGGCCTATTGAGTCTGTGCTGCCATTTGATCATGGCTGATGTATTTCTGAACCCCATTCTCCTGCCTTCTCCCTGTAACCCTTGATCCCCTTACTAATTAAGAACCTATCTATCTCTGTCTTAGACACTCAACAACTTGGCTTCCATAGTCTTCTGAGGTAGTGAGTTACACAGATTCACCTTTATCTGACTGAAGAAATTCCTCACCACCACCATTCTAAAGGGCCTCTCCTTCACTCTGAGGCTGTGACCTTGGGCTCTAATCTCTCCCACTAGGAAAAACATCTTTTCTATGTCCACTCTATCCAGGCTTGTCCATTTTCTGTAAGTTTCAATCAGATAGTCCCTCGTCCTTCTGAACTCCATTGAATATTACTGGACTGTTTATCCAGAAGCTTAGACAGTCCAGGCTAATGCTTTGGGTTCACAGGTTCAAATCCTACTATGAAAACTGATGGAATTTAAATGACAAGAGGTTGGGAAGTATTGATGTCCAAAGGGACTGGTGTAGCCTTGTACACGCATCACTAAAAGTCTAGAGTGCAGTTACAACAATCAATTAGAAAGGTAACTGGAGTGTTGGCCTTCATCACAAGAAGATTAGAGTACAGACATAAAGATGTCTTCCTGCAATTTTACAGAGCCTGGGCACCTGGAGTGTTGCGTACAGTTTTGTTTTCCTTATCTAAGGAATGATAGAGGCTCACTTACTCACTTACCAACACAGGCACACCAGACTCATATCTGGGATAACAGGATTATCTTCTAAATTGAGATTGAGGAAACTGAGCTATATTCTCTTTTTAAGGATTGAGAGGTGATATCATTGAAATTTAAAGAAAAATCCTTGTCACGTCCTGAAGATAGATGTAGCAGGCTGTTTCCCCTGGCTGGTGAGTCTACAATCAGGGGATATAGTCTAAGAATTAGGGATCATCCATTTAAGTCTGAGTTGAGGAGGAGTTTCTTCATCTCGGACAGTGGTGAATCTATGGAATGCTGCACTGACGATATTGTGGAAGCTCAATTATTGAACATGAAGATTGAACTCGTGAGACCAGAAGACATGGGAGCAGAGATATGCTATTTGGTCCATCAAGTGGCTCTGCCATTCAGTGAGATCACAGCTGATCAGATAATCCTCAACTTTGCTTTTCTGCCTTTTCCCCATAATCCCTGATTCCCTTACTGATTAAAACTCTGGCTATCTCAGCCTTGAAGATAGTTAGTAACTCAACTTCTACAGCCCTTTACAATAAGTAATTCAACAAATTTCACTAGCTTCTGAGAGAAGAAATTCTTCCTCATCTCTGTTTTAAATGGAAATCCATCATTCTCAGATTATGAATCTGGACCTAGACTCTCCCACAAGGGGAAACAAGCTTTCTGTAACTACCCTGTCAAGCCCCCTAATAATCACATGTTTCAACAAGTTGTCCTCTCATTCATCTAAACTACAATGAGTACAGGCAAAACCTACTCGATCTCGCCTCTCAAGAAAATCCCTCCATGCTCTGGATCAACCCAGTGAACATTCTCTGGACTGCTTCCAATGCCAGTCTGTCTCTCTGTAGATAAGGGGACCAAAATTGTTCACAGTATTCCAGATGTAGTCTGACTAGTGTCTTGTTTTAGCAAGACTTCCCTATTTTCATATTCCATTCCCTTTGAAATAAAAGCCAACTTTTCAATTGGCTTCCCTATTACCTGCTGAGCTTGTAAGATAGTTTTTTTGTGATTGATGTACAAGGACCCCATTGTACAACAACTTTCTGCTCTTTATTTTCATTTAAATGATATTCAGTACTCTATTCTTTCTGCCAAAGTGCATAACCTCTCATTCTCCCACATTTATATTCCATCTGCCAAGATTTTGCCCACTCACTTAGCCTTTCTATGTCCCTCTTTAGACTCGGTCACCGTCCCACCTACTTTTACGTCGTCCGCAAACTTGGTGATAGTACATTCGCTTCCCTCATCCAAGTCGTCATTAAATATATGGCCCCAAAAATTTGATAGATTTCTGAATACAAATGGAAGTATGGGATTGTCGGGGTAAATGGTATAGAGGCCAATGATCAGCCATGATGTTTGAATGGAAGAATCAGCTCAAAAGGCCAATTGGCCTATTCCTCCTATTTCCTTTCTTCATATCTACAGGAAAACTTGGCCTTAAACTAAGAAACATTCTGGTACGGTTAATTAACTTTCTTTTGTTTGCTGCAATTGTATCAAGTTGTATATGTAAGAATTCCAGATGTGAAACGTTCCTTGAACTTTTATGAAGTTTTGTTGATTATTGTAAGGTCAGGACTTGTCAGTCAACTTTTGCACTATCTCCTTGGAACATGATGAGTTAGCGGATTTTAGCAAGGACATTAATCTTTGGCATTCTTTAGTTTGAAGGAGGAAGAGTTCAGCCAGAATTCCCTTTTCTGAATATTAATCACTAACATCTGCTGTGCCTTTTAGAAGAATGTACTTGTTAGATTTCCGGTGAAAGCGGGGGTCAGGCTCTTCATCTTTTACCAATACCCTTCCCATTGTGTCCCCCGTCCCCACCCTGCACATGAAAAAATATCCACTAGTATTCATTCATCTTCTCACAAGAAGAATAACTGGTTGGATCAGGTACTGGAGGAATGATCTTGCTTAAGTAACTACATTCCAAAATATGTCAGCAGCTCCGGAAGAGCATTTGATGGGGGAACAGAACAAAATTTAGGCCAAAGGTTATTTAATCTTTTGCTTCAGAGCAGAGCTGCACTTTTTACTGTTGCTGGTGTCTGTTTGTGCAGCCCAGAAGTCCGCAGGTGTAAGTAGCACATATTTGCTGAACTATGGACTTACTGGTAAATCAAGGGGTGCCACATGGGATTTCTTGAGATATCCATCCTGCCTTGAGCATCTTAGCTTTCATACCAGATTCTGTCACTGTTTTGTGGTTTAAACTGCATTGAGATATTTTACAAAAATTAACTTCGGAGACCAGCTGAGAGCATTTTACTTGAAGAGATAATTATTTCCAAACCACTAATCTGAACTGTTTCTGTTCAGGAGCTGGTGCAGGATAATCACAGCAAGAATGAGCCTTCCCCCCAGCCTGACAAAATCGAAGCTTCTGAGCCCGTTGACACTCAGCCGAAAGCAAATGGAAGGGAAGGTATGTGAAATTAAGTGAGATTCATAGGCTGCTTTCATATTAACAGACCCAAAATAGGTTTCGTACACTGTACTTAAGATTTTGCATATTCCATCTCAATATTAATGGTCAATGGTAGCAAAATATAATCAGAAGTTGTCATCATTACCAATATTGGATCCTCATGTCACTAGCTGAATTCAAAATATGTTCTAAACAGTAATGCTTCAGTAGCAGAAGAACTGGCTAAAGTAAGAACAGTAATTACATCTAGAGTGCTCAGATGCCCTTTGGTCAGCATTAAATGGAACTGAGCTGCTAGTTTGACTTCCATAAAAGCTTTGAGTGCAGAAAGTGGGGAATGTCTCATTGATGCAATTGGGCCTATTCTGCAGGACACTTTGGTTCAGATTTTCTCATTTTCTTGCTGTGATGTAGGGTGTGTAATTTGTATTTTTTTTTTATTGTTAGACTTTTGAATTTTGAATTAGGGCCATGTGGGTTTTTTAAGGGGATTTTGTTTCAGTATAGAGAATTAGCCTGCAGGACTAATATGTTTTTTCAAATTTACATTAGGAGAGTTTACTATTGATCACGGTAAACATTAGCATATGAAACATGTTTCAGGTAGAAGCTTCAGGACTTTATTAAGTTCAGTGAAAACACCCATAGCTGGGCAAAAAAAAGGTTTTGTTTGAATTTCAGTTTGGGGCAGTTCTGCAGACATCTTGAATGGAGATGGCTGTGTAAAGTAGCACTCTTGAGAAGGTAATTAGAACATAGGTTACCTTGCCACTGGAGAGGAGGCTCCACAAATATTCCCACCCTGAATGATGGAAGAGCTCAGCACATCAGTGCAAAAGATAAGGCTGAAGCATTTGCAGTAATCCTCCACCAGAAATGCCCATTGGATGGTCCATCTCAGCCCCATCCATTGGGTCCCCAGCATCACAAATACCAGTCTTCAGCCAATTCAATTCATTCCACTTGATGTTAAGAAACAGTTGGACACACTGGATACTGCAAAAGCTGTGGGCCCTATCAACATTCTGCCAGCAGTACTGAAGCATTGTGCTCCAGAACACGCTGCTCCCCTAGCAGCTACTCGACAATGTGGAAAATTGACCAAGTATGTCTTGTAACCAAAAAAGCAGGCCAAATTCAACCTGGCCAACTACTGCCCCATCAGTCTACTCTCGATCATCAGTAAAGTGGTGGAAGATGTCATTGACAGTGCTATCAAGCAGCACCTGCTCAGCAATAACCTGCTCAGTGACACCCAGTTTGTATTCTGCCAGGGCCACTCAGCTCCTGACCTCATTACAGCCTTGGTTGAAACATGGACAAAACAGCTGAATTCTAGAGGTGAGGTGAGAGTTGACAGCCCTTGACGTCGAGGCTGCATTGGACCAAGTGTGGCATCAAGGAGCTCTGAAAATCTGGCATCAAAGAAGATCAGGGACAAACTCTCTGCTGGCTGGAGTCATGCCTGTCAAATAGGAGGATGGTTGTGTTGGTGGAGATCATCCCAGCCCAGGACCTCTCTGCAGGAGTTCCTCAGGGTGGTGTCCTAGACCCAACTGCTTTCATTTGCACCATCAATGACTTTTCCTCCATCATAAGGTCAGAAGTAGGGATGTTCTCCAATGATTGCATTGCATTATTTGCAACTCCTCAGATATTGAAGCAGCCCCTGTTCAACTGCAACAAGATCTGGACAATATCCAGCTTGGAGCTGACAAGTGGCAAGTAACATTTGCCAGTAACAAATGCCAGGCAATGACCATCTCCAATAAGAGGTAGTCTGACCACTACCCCTTGACATTCAATGGTGTTACCATCACTGAATCCCCCACAATCAACATCCTGGGGGTTACCATTGACCAGAAGCTCAATTGGACGAGCCATATAAATACAGTAGTTACAAAAGCAGGTCAGAGGCTAGGAATAATGCAGCCTGATTTTCCAAAGCTTGTCCATCATCTACGTGGCACAAATCAGGAGTGTGATGGAATATTCCTCACCCTGTCTTAATGGATATATCTCCAACAATACTCAACCTTGACTCATTCCAGGACAAAGCAGCTCGCTTGGTAGGCCCCACATCCCTAAGCATACATTCCCTCCATTTCAGGATTAGCAGTGTATATTATCTACAAAATGCATGCAGAAATTCACCAAAGATCATTAGACAGCAAATCCAAGTCCACTTCCATCTGGAAAAACATAGGCAGAGTTGGTTCAAAAAGGCAACTCACCACCACCTTTTCAAGGGCAACTAGGACAGGTAATAAATGCTGACCAGTCAGCAATGCCCATGTGCCACAAGTGAATATATAGGAAGTAAGGGTTTTGATCTAGACCGGAAGTGCTTTGATAAAATCCTAAAGCAGTTACTTGAAGTGGAGAACGTTTAAACTGATGTCTAAAAGCTCCAGGAAAATGCTGTCAGATTTTCCGGACTGGGAGTTGAAGTCAGTCAGATTAACCTTATAGAGGTGAGAATACTGTAAAGGGCATTTTTGGGATTTGTAAAAGGATATTTTGGGTGATTGAGATTATTAGTTATTGTGTGTTGCAAAATCTTTAAGGTTTTGTTGTATGTAAATAATCTGGTTTATCTGGTTTTATCTTTATTCCTATTGTTGAAACCAAATCTCCAACATTGTGTGCTTGTGCTGCAGTGACAGACCACCTTATTAAAACCAAAAAAAATGACCAAACCAGATTGCAGTCTGAGATTAGACTTGTCCAGTAATATCAATTAGCTGGGATCACAACAATGGAGTACACAAATTACACAAGAGTTGCTGTTGATCAGGGAAACAATGTGGCTTCACTGAAATTTCCAGTTAGTTTTGTGTTGAAACCGGGTTGGATTACAGAATGAAACAGATTGAACTAATCATGAGCTTCAATCAGCTGACTTTGATTCCAGTTCAGAAACTACTAGAAAATACAAGATGCTATATGTCAGTATCTAGGTCACTAATCTCTACTACTGCCTTCCCAATGCACAAAGTGTAAGAAGCAACAAGCCTATTGTAAGTTAAATCCTTCTGTCGGTCATTTCCAATGTGTTGCACACGCTGTAAAGTGACTGCATCTTTCTCTCTTAACAGCAGTACAGCCAACCTTAGATGAGGATGAAGCAATGGCTGACCCAGAACAAGAAGATATCAAGCAGATTGAGCTGGACCAGATAAAGGAGGAACTACAGCTTGCTTTGAGGAAAGAGAAAGAAACTAGGGTGGGTTTTAATATCACAAAGGTTTTTGACATTGCAGTACTGAGGTTGGTTTAAAAAAAAAAGCCTGAGTTTCCCAAGTTTGGAGTGCATTAAAAGCTTTGCCTTTTGAACATTTTGGTTCAAATATCTTCAAGTGGTGATGTGGGGAATTCATGACTTCAATGTAGAAGTAGACTTCTTGGGATATGAATTTGAGTCCCAAATTCAAGTGTCCATGGCATGGTGGTGTCACTACAGTCAATTTTGACTGTTACCCAAGTGGAGGAAACTCACCCAGGTTGCCCACTCCTGATTCCTGCTGGAAAATACACGTGTGTGGATGTTGAAAGAGGTTCCAATGCTTCCATGGACAAATAACTGCCAATACTTTATAGTAATTTAAATAATGAACAGGAAGTACCTTAAAGAAAAATGGAAAGAAATTGGTGTGGAAAATTAAAAATGGGAAAATAAAGCTTAGGTTTTAAGAGTTTAAAGATTGTTGGAAAGCATTAACCCTCTGACATTGAGGAACACTTGAAATCTGCAATAAAATCTGGCAGGCATCCAGCCAAATCAAGTTACAAAGGTAGATCAATATCCATCCAGCTCTGTTAATCAGAACAAGGTGGAAGAAGTTCATCTTCTAAAAAGTCAAGCAAGTAAGTTTTCTCTCAGAATTTGATGCGATTGAGAAAGAACAGCTGCAGAACGAAGAATTAAAGAAACTGAGCTGAGAAAAAGAAAACATGCTTAGACAGTAGTAAGGGTAAACTTTAGGGGAAGAAAAGGAAGATGTTCTGGTTACTGTGCAGCAGATCCAACAAACTGCATTAAATTCCATGTTGTGCACTCCTTTGGTGTATTGAATAAAGACTAAATAAGCCATCTACAAATCTTGTTCATTCTCAAAATTTCCAAACTGGGAAATAACTTGCAATCTGGAGACTTTTTCAAACCTATTTAGCTTTAGTTAAGCTACTCCTTGATTCAGACAAAAGCAAAATATTGCAGGTGCCAGAATATCCGAAATAAAAAGAAGCAGCACTGGAGAAATTCAGTTCTGGCAGCATCTGTGGAGAGAAAAACTGAGTTAACATTTTGAGTCCATTATGATTCTTTGAAACTGGCTTCTGTCCTACTGTCTTCATCTTTAGTGTCTTGCATTGAGGGTGCTATTTGACTTGCCTACTTGAATTGTAAGTATTAAAAAATATAGCTGACATCAGTGAATCTATAGTGAGTGCTGACTCTGTGTGCTCACCTCTGATTTCTTTCAGACTCTGCAGTACATATGTGGAAATGTAAAGCCACATAAAAGTTTTTTTTAAAAAAGTTCCACTTTGTTTAACCCTTCTTTTCTCTTCACCGATATACGTTTTCATCATTTGTTTACATTTGTCGGTGTTTGTTAGGTATTTATTACTCTTTATATAAATAATGTTTGAGAGATTTTGTTGCTAGTATGCCTGCTTCCAGGTATCAGAAAGTTCAGCCAAAAAGAATGTTAAGTTTTGGGGCTTGGAGCGAATCACGAGTGTTGGCAATACATGTGACTTTATTTTGTGTTAGTGAAATATTCAAATTTTGAATGTTTTTAAATTTTATCACCATCCATACTTAATAAACGACATGAGGGCATATATCTGAATGTGGTTTGTGTTTGTTCCTTTTCAGCTTGAGCTGACCAGACTGCAGTCTGCCCTGGCCAACCAGGGAAGAGAGTTCCAATGTCAGACTGTGAAGATGGAAGCTCTCTCGAGCAACATCCCCGTCAAGGAGGAGTGTTTTAAGGTCTGATATGATTTCTGCAGAACTGGACTTAATGAAATGCCGAAATTGTAAGGAAGACAAACTAATTTGACAGATCGTGCTGATTTTTGTGAATTATACCGTATGCAGCCATGCCTATGGTCACCTCGCAGTTAGTGAGATTATTATTTTAGGATAAGTTTGCACTCTGAGCACAGTCTCATTAGGAAGTGTAAAGTAAGACTTGTGCAGACTGATTTCATTGGGAATTTCCATGGTCAACAGATAACTGAACCATGCATCCATTCAATCGGAACTGAAACCGAACCTGGATTCCCAGGAAAGAAAAAAAAAATCCCATCTCCTAGCCTCTTTGAGACGATCTTGTTCATCTGTCATGTAGCTAATTAAGACATTTTAGAAGACTAGTAAGACCACATGTGAATGGTTGGTTTTATAAGACGGCAAACATACTTGTATACAAAATCTTGGACCATTGATAGTATGCTTGACCCATATTTGAATATAGATACACTAGGACTTGTGATATTTGTGATTTATTAGTTGGATTGCTGCAAAGTTGAAATAGTAATATATGCCTTGTTCTGCCATAGGATCTGCAAATGAAGCAGGTACAGCCATGTGAATCTCCAGAAATAGAGAGGCTTACACAGGAGCTCCTGGTCTTGAGGGAACGAGTGGCAGAAATGGAGTCATCTACACAGGCAAACATAAGAAAGAAACATCATCAGGTACATCCGTCAGGTATTTAGGTGTGCGTGTACATCTGTGCAGGGAAGTGTAATAGAAAATTTATTGGTAATTCAATGCCTAGTTTGAGTTAAGCTCAAACTTTGTTGGGTTATGACTCCCTCCTCTTTTATGCTAAATAGTAACTAGATAATTTCCTGCTCATTAACAAGTCAAAGGTCATGGACTTAGGAAACTGGATGACCTAAAAAGAATTGGCTAATAGATTGAGCTGGCTAGTGCAAAGTTAGTCCTAGAATTCGACTTCAGAATGAGTAAATGCTATTAGGATGCATGAGTAGGTTCTTAAACAAAAAACCTTTCCCAAGTAAAGCAGTGCTATTGTGCTAATAAGGCAATTTCCTCCATACCTTTAAAGAGAAATGGCGACATGATGGTAAAGTCACTGGATTAGTAATTCAGAGACCCAGACTAATGCTTATGGGATCAAGGCTTCAAATCAACCACAGCAACTGATGGAATTTAAATTAAATTCACAATTTCAAGTTTTAAAAAAAAAATAGAGTTGAAAGCTACTCATCAGTAACAGTTACCATGAAAGTATCATCAATAAGAAATGACAGAAGGTTGTGTGCACAGTTCAGACCATCACAGAAGCCAATCTTCCATTCATGGACTCTATTTACATGGTTTGTTGCTGCGGAAAGGCTGCCAACATCATCAAAGAACCATCCCACCCCAGCACTGCTCTCCTACAACATCTTCTGTCAGGCAGAAGATACAGAAGCTTGAACACAGGTTCAAAAACAGCTTCTTCCCTGCCATTATTAGACTGATGAATGGACACTGTAACTTCAAATAGTGCTGATCTTGTTAATGTTGATCTTGCCTAGTGCACACCATGTGCGATGTATCTTGTATGCCTCTGTCTAGTTTTATTTTCACCCTATGATCTGTATGTCCTTGTTTGCTATGATCTGCCTGTACTGCTCGTAAACAAAGTTTTCCACTATACTCCTCCAGTACAGGTGACAATAAATCAATCACTCAATTGTCATAAAAACCTATCTCATTTGAAATCAACTATCCTTTCTTGGTCTAACCTACGTGTGACTCTACCCACAGCAGTGCAATTGACCTTTAACAGTTGTTTGAGGGATAGACAGGTGTTAGACTTGTGGCGATGCACACATCCCATGAAAGCATTAAAAAAAATACTCACTCACCAGTGCTGACTGGTGCAAAAGTAAGTGGATACTGCAAAATCTCCAGCCAATGAAGACGAATATACGTGAATCAACCTGCATTATATTTGAAACAATTGATGTTTGAGAACAGTTTTAAAAAAAAAGGCAAAAATGACCAAAAATTAGATTGAATCCAGAAGTGATTCTTTTAAACCTATTAGGAATGTATTGGTTCAGAGATAATGGGAACTGCCAATGCTGGAGAATTTGAGATAACAAGGTGTAGAACTGGATGAACACAGCCGGCCAAGCAGCATCAGAGGAGCAGGAAAGCTGAAGTTTCGGGTCTGGACCCTTCTGAAGAAAAATGCTGCTTTCTGAAGAAGGGTCCAGACCCAAAATGTCAGCTTTCCTGCTCGTCTGGTGCTGCTTGGCCTGCTGTGTTCATCCAGTTCTACACCTTGTTATCTAGGAATGTATTGGTTATTTGTCTACCTTTTGATATCCATTATCTTCTTTTTCTTCCCAGTTTCTTTAACAGTTCCTGAAGCCATTTAGTTTTACCTATACACTGGTACAGTCTATAGATACTGGTTACCGCTGGTGCTCTGTGAATCCGCATCATTTATATATGCCTTGACAATGAATGCCTACATATTATTCAGTTACATGGTAAAGCGGGTAGCACAACCAAATTTCATCTTCACCTCACTTTTGATTATGTGTATTTCCAGCAAGGTTTGCTGAGTAGTCATTGAAAGTGAGTAAATATTTCCCTCCCTAATCCGTAAACTGAAAAACTGATAGTAACGTTCATTCTAGTGTTCAAGCTGAAAAGGTGAAAATTCAGCACTAACATTTGAATATATATCTGAATTAAGAACAGGCCCCTTGAGCTTACTCCACCATTTCATAAAATCATGACTGAACTGATTATCCCACATTTCTGCCCACCTTTCTCCCTGGCTTATCAAGAATCAGTATACATCTACCTTAAAATAATCAAGGCTCTGCTTGCATCATCTTTTGCAGAAGAGTGTTTCAAAGACTCAACTCTGAAAGAGAAAAATTCTGCTCATCCATCTTAAATAAATGTTGCCTATATTTTGAAACAGTGATTGATTTCTATTATCTTGCACATGGGAAGCATCCTTCCCAAATGCACCTGTTAAGATCATTCAGGATCTTAAATGTGGAAGTTTATAAATGTTTCAAAATGAATATCAATATTAATTATCCATTTCATTCTCTGAAATAGTAAGTGATTTCTTCTTAGTTCATATGCTTACTCTTGTTTACTGGCAGCTGATCTGGGCCCTTGAAGAGCAAGTTCAGGAACAGTTACGATTGAGTGAAGCTCTTCGATCTGAACGACAGCTCTACATCAGCCTTGTTAAATTCCACAATCAAACTGACAGGTAAGAAAATGACCTGGTAAATGCAGAACATGTACAGTCTTGTGTGAATGTGCATATGCCTTGAGATTGCGTATCTAACTTTGCATTACTGCATAAATATCTAAATAGTGCTGGCTACCATCTTTAGAAGCAAGTGGTGTTCAATTTGACTGTTCGGATTTCCAAAAAAAGAGAAATGTCTGTAGGTTTCTGCACTGCTTATTATAAAAATGAAACCATTAGAATTAACACAGGTTGTAAAGTATTGAGTACCACATGCTTCATTTACAATGTCCGGCTGTTACTTCTGTCAGCTTGTCGAAAGTCGCACATAATCCATATGTTGTAATAAATAACCTCTGGATTACTGTTAGCTGCATGCTGGTACGGCACAGTTTGGGATTGTGGTTGCCTTGCAAACGCTGCTAAAAGGAAATGCCTGCTTGCTGCAAACTACATGTTTTTAATACTTATTACCTAAACATCTGCAAGTTAACTGACCTGAATTTAGAAAATCACGAGCGTGATGGGTTTCCTTCTGTCTCCTAAAGGTCATTCATAATGTGCTGCATGTATCCCTTAAAAAGAAAATACCATTCCATTTTAGGTTATTTTCTTCCTCCAACTTGTGTTAGCCCAGTAAGAGTATTTTTCCATCATGCATTACAATTTTAGTCAATTGGATGAGGCACACCACCTGTCCACTGGTCCACTCTCTGTATTAAATGTCGGCTCAAGGCTCAAATTGCTAAACAAACCCAGTTGTAATTTACTGAATAAGTAGTATTACAGCAACTAATTGTTTCAAGGTGGTTTCCTCAGCTTAACCTCACCCAAAGAGCCAAAAGTGTACCAGACACATTGGCACAGTAAACATAGGAACGAGGGACTTGCTCAGCGTAATTGGTGTTTCTGCTTGATTTTTTTTTCAGGACATCCAAAAACAAGTAATATACTGGCATTTCATTAATCTGACGTGTATAGAACTTTTCTGGTATCTGCACCAGTGAGCAGTTTTATAATAGATTTGGCATGTAAATATTCAGAATAAGGATTACAGAATTGCATGTCTTCATGTGTGCCAGTGAGCTGTGAACCACTAACTTATATTTGACACTTTTTAAAAAAACACAATAAGGCAATTCATCTGGTCTGCAACTTGCTTGTTGCTGAAGCTACTTTGGTTCTGAAACCTTTGCTAATATATATGAGGTCAGTGTTATAGGGTTCAAAATATGCTTCTTAATCTGCAATACATCTAAATTCACATCAACTGCAAACTGTATTTCTTAATGAAATCTGATCTGAAGCCTTGCAGTTCCTGGTTCATGATCTCGTTTGTGTCCAAAAGCTAGAATTCAGTCTGTTTTTTTAATTGTTCTTAATTCAGACCTATTTTCCCCCTCCAATTCACTCTTACACCTAAAATCACCACTGTACTTCGGACAGAATTTTATGGTTTTCTGCCAGCAAGTGGGTTGGTCCTGTAACCTTCCTGCTCAAGAGGATATGCCCACATTCACCTGAACTGAAGTTAAGGGCTACTTGCTGACCAGCTGCACTTTTGAGGCTGGCAGGAGGGATTCAGGGACAGAAGGATGTTCAACAGATCACCTTTGGATAGGAAGGGCAGGGATATGCATCCCTCAAAGGGCTCCTTGTTCACATCTGGTCCTCCCGCCTCCATCCACGTCATTGGGTTTCATCTCCCCTACCTTGCAGGAGACCCCTCGGCACTTATCTGCTTCTAGACTTTGGACAGAACCTGGACAGTCCTCGGAGTGTTAAATGGCTGTGGAACTGCTGTGATGCATCAATGCTTCAGGTGATGGAGCAGGAAACCCCATTTATCACAGACCTAATACCATGTTAGTAGGTTGGGGAAATAGAAGGAATAAGAACAATATCACTTTATAATGATTGTGCTCTGCAGTCAAAGCTTAAGGGTGAATGCAGCTGAGCCCTCTATCTATTGTTAACTCATCAAGCACTATCTGTGGTAATATGATACCGTTGATTTTTGTCTCCAAATTCACATCTTTACTTAGCTCTGACAGAGAAGATCTGCTGCAGGCCGAGCTTTTGGCTATACAGGCACTCCGTGGACAACTGGAAGAGACCCTCAAGAGGAGTCAGGAGCAGATCAGCCGTCTGGAGAGGGAATCTGAGATGCCAGCAGATTCTGGAGGTGGGGGAATGGACAGACTGGGAAGTCTGCAAGAGCATGTGGCCTCCCTTACTGAGGGGTCTTGCACCCAAGCAACATAGCGTGCTACTAGGATGGTGGTTATCTTGAGAATCTTGCTAACATGAAGTGCCTGCTTAATTCAAACAAGATATTAACTGATTGTGTGCAATGTGAACTGACCTGGATTCAGAAAATCATGATTGTATCCTATGTGTTATGAGCTTTCTTTGTCTCCTAAAGGGCATGCACCAAACGTTTTGCATGCAACCATGAGAGGAAAAAATACCATTCCATTTTAAGTTATTACCTTTTCCCTGCTTATGTTGGTTAAATAAAAGCATTTTTCCATCATGTCATTGCACGTCCTCCATTTTGAATGTATGTATTATACTTTTCTTCCCATTGGTTTGTCCTCCCTATTAAATGATAAGGCCAAGAATCAAATTGTTAAAAAAAAAGTAGTTACAATTTCCTGAATAACTGCAACTTATTCTTACAACTTAATTATTTGAATATATATAAAATACACTGAGTTCATTTGTAGGTATTTGAAAATTGTAGCTTTATCAGTCTGGTTTGTAACTGTTGACGCAGATTTCCTATACACATTAATTTTGTTACTCTAAAAGCTATTTTATTTTTTCTTTTTGTTGTGGATCGCTCCAAAATTGACGAAATAGTAAACCTAGTCCTGAGGGACTACACTTCCGCCAAGCTGGTGTGGTGCGTTTGAGAGTCTGGCACTCCATCTGGAGATGGACTGAGTTTTCACCAAGACCTTAAATATATTGCATCGATTGAGAGTGAAAGCACCCCAAACTATCTTTCTGCCACAATGTGGCAAAGGAGACTTGAAACAAATCAAACATAGAAGAAATTTTGAGCACTAATAGCATTAATAAACTTAGTATTTTTAAGGTCCTGCTTTGATGTTGGATTGTAGGCATGCATGAGAAGACAGAGCATGTTGCTAATATTATTTGTAAAAGCCACAACTAAATTTAAGCACAACTTGTGACCAATTACTGTCTAATGATTGTACCATTAATAGCTGTGATTTTCTTGCGTAACACAATATGCCACTGGATGTTCCAGTGCTATACTATTGCAACCTGCATTAATTATGTCATTGGAAAATTATCTATTGTTAGTTAGAATTTACATTACAAGTTGATGGTGGCCCGCATAATTCACTCTGTACTCCGTGACTCATGTTGTATTATCCTCCTACTCATGATGTTATCATTCAGTATAGAGTCGTACAACATGGAAACAGCATAGACCTTCAGTTCAACTAGTCCCCAAACTAAACAAGTCTCACTTGACTGCATTTGGCCCATGTCCCTCTAAACCTTTCCCATTCATGTACTTATCCAAATGTCTTTTAAATGTTGTAACTGTACCTGCAATCACCACTTCGTCTGACCGTTCATACCAGTCATGAACCACTCTGTTTAAAAGAAAAGTTGCCCCCATGTTCTTTTTAAAACAATCTCCTCTCCCCTTAAAAATATGCTCCCTAGTTTTGAACTCACCCACATTAGGGAAAAGACCCTTGCTATTCACCTTATCAATGCCCCTCATGATCTTATAAACCTCTGTAAGGTTACCCCTCAACTTCCTACACTCCGGTGAAATTAGTCCCAGCCTATTTTTATAACTCAAACATTCCATTCCCAGCAGCATCCTGGTAAATCTTTTTTGAACCCTCTCCAATTTAATAATGTCCTTCATGTAACAGGGCAACTATAAGTGCACATACTACTCCAGAAGAGGCCTCACCAACATCCTGTACAACCTCAACATGATGTCCCAACTCCTATACTCAAAGGTCTGTGCACTGAATGAAGCATGCCTTCTTAACCACCCTGTCTACCTATGACGCAAATTGCAAAGAATTATGTACCTGAAACCCGATGACTCTGTTCCACAGCACTATTCAGGGCCCTACCGTTAACAGGATAAATCCTGTCCTTGTTTGTTTTACCAAAATGCAATACCTTGCATTTATCCAAATTAAACTTTGTCTGCCACTCCTCAGTCCATTTGATACAGTTGATCAAGATCTCTTTGTAATCTTAGATTACCTTCTTCACTGTCCACTATATCACCAATTTTGGTGTCATCCACAATCTTACTAACCATGCCTCCTATATTCTCATACAAATCTTTTATATAAAATGACAACAAAAGTACCCTGCATTTCTCATCTTCTGTTTTGGGGTTGGGTTAAAGCATGTTACTGTTTTGAAATGTAATTTTTAAGTTATTATACTTGCACATCTTGGAAAAACAAGTAGCAGTTTAATACCTTTTTACCTTTCCTTGGTGTGAAAATATTTAGCCCCAAGCACCTAATGTAAATTCAATAAGGTGTGTTAAAACAGATTATTATGTCACTGTAGCTCATCCCCTGAGACACATTGCACTTCTGCTCCAGACAAAAAAAAAGTTGCCAAATTACTCTTTCTCTTGTGAAAGTATGGTACCAAGGGGTTTAATTCTGCAAACATTGCAATTTCCAGAAATTCAACCTAATTAACCATCTTTTATGTGTTAATGGTGAGTGTCAACAGACTATTCTTCCGCAGGGAACTTGGCATGCATGATTGGAACTCAGTTGGATAGCAGTCAGGAATGCGAACATAGACCTGAATTTGAAAAAGACTATGTTCTGTCCCATTCTTCAGAATCATAATCTTCTACTTCTGCATGCATTCTGCCTCAGCCTGGTATTTTCTAGTAATTCTTTGCTAGTGTGTGAAGAAGCAGCTAAGGAAACAGAGTTTCCTATAATTCATAACAGTAGTAAAAGCACATTCTTAAATCCATAGATCCTATAAATTCAATAGTGTGTTAGCAATTGCTTTGAATGCAGGGAAAACCTTGCACCCATAGTTAATATTTTTAACTTAGGTAGAGAAAACAACGGTAATACTTCAAATATCAGAACATTGGGGCTGTGATGTGGGTGGAGAAAAAAAAGAGAAAGTTAGGGGAGGACTGGAAACTTACTAAATGAAACAAAAGGGAAGCCAATCACACTTTTCTGACATCACCAAGTTCCGTCCAGCAAGCAAACCGGTGACACCTCAGGGGCTTCAAAGCAACATTTTAGTGCGGTTTTCCATTTTAGTGTGGAGCAGATTTCTAATTTGAGGTACAAATTTCATTTGTATTTGGTACATACTTTGCTTTCTTAAACCAAAACATCTGAATATCAACAGCAGCCTCTATGGTTAGTTGTTAGTCTGCACTGAGATGGGTTTCAACCTCGTAGGCAAGTTCGTCTCACTTATGCAAGTAAGCAACATGCAAGGATGAACGGAACAGGTGGCTGCATAATTTGAATTAATAATTCAAAGCATTATGTAAATGTTGACCTGGACCATATTTGATTATGGCTTTGACAAATATGAGATGGAGTGCATTCCGTTCATCGTGAAATTTTCTGCTCACCCTGATTGTATTTCTGTATACTATTCATACCTAACGGAGAGTGGATTCTTGCATCATTGGTAACTGTCACACCACCCTAGGAATTTGTAAAAAAGGGTGATAAGCACATGTCTCAATTAAACAGCAAAAGTTTTCATTTCAAAACACCGCAAGAAAGCAACATGGAATTGAAGATGCAACAGAGTGCAATCCAATTTCTTCCTGCTTCTGCCCACCCAATCCTTGAATCAATTGCTGTGTGAGGAAGGAAGAGAGGCACAGGTAGATGGTCGGTACTGATGAAAGCTTCTCTAATATTGCAGTGAACTATGGTATTGAACTAATCCACATATGTAATTACAGCTGGTGAAAATGTCACTATTATAGGACTAGATTTGATGAAAAGGCTTATTTTAGTAAACATTGCTAATTCTTGATTTAGTTACATTCTTGTGCAACTCGCATAGATATCTGGTGCTGGAATAAAGCTCTGTATGATTGCTACATGTTTGAAACTCAGCACTGCTTCTTATCTGGGCCACATATTTATGTATTTGGCATCAGGAGGAAATTGTTTCACTGCCTATACTTTTACAGTTTGCAAGGCAGTGCTCCTCTTGATAAAAGTTCCTTTTGCAGATCCAGTTTCATTTTGGCAGATTGTCCTGATGTAGGTCTAGTGTGTTTTGTGAATCGAGTTTTGTTGTCAGTATCCAGCAGTGTGTAGCCAATAAGATTTTTTTGTACTATGCTTTCAATGTGACCTGTTCACGAGTCACACTTTTCTGTCCATTCTGTGTTCAACAACAATATAGCAGCATTTATCTTTCAAAAAAATCACCAGTCAATGTTTATTGTACATGGTTCTTAGTTCAGTGAATATGGTAAGAGAGGCCTTTTGCATATTTTCAGCAGCCAGTGTGCATAAAACATGTTGCATCTGTGCTGTGCAGGGAACTGGAAAGAATGCAGGTTATATCAGAGCATGTTAATAAAGGAGAGAGCCTTTATTGACTGTTTCCTCTATGATTACACATGCAGCTGCATTTGCTTGCAGCCACAGTTGAAAAGTTGTGGGTGAGGTATTTTTAATTAAACTGTCTGGTGATGTTATGACTGACTTCTGGAGCAAGTAGGACTCAAACCCAGGCCTTCAAGCTCAGACATAGGGACACTACTACTGCACCACAAGAGTCCTCAAAGGTGTTCAATACAATGTAAAATATCAGTAATGAACACTAGGAAAGACAAGTTTTAGGTGAAGTTGTAATGTCAATTTTCCACAGCTGTATAACCTAAATTAAGTATAACAGGAGGCTGTTCAAATCTTCAACTGATAAGTCAGCATTTGGGATTGCTTTAGACTGTTTTCAGTTCTCTTCTACCTCGGTGTCATCTTTTGCCTCTTACAAAGTTTGAATCTATTTCCCTTTTTAAATTCTTTTACCATGTATATGTTGAGCCGATGGCAATTGGCTGTGTAAAGAGATTTCCACAAAAAGAACTGGAGCCCAAATCTTTCTAAGGGCCTCAAAACAATCTGCTGTTACTGCATGTCCAACCAGCTGTTTCTGTAGTACAAGTTATGAGCAGCTTCCTTCAGCTCGAGTCCATTCAAGCTTCTTATCACCACTAATGTAACATATGCCTATTCTGAAAATATCTGAGGAGAAATATACATGCAGTACTGGCCCCAGATTTGGTCCAGATCCTCGTTCTTCGTCAAACCATTAGTCATAAGGCAAGTTGTAATTGGTAATGCAATGCTTCTTATTCCACCACCACCAAACCTCCTCCTGTGAACACCCTTTACCTCAGCGATGCAGCAGTATTTTACACATCAGTTCTCGGCCTTTGTTGTTACACTGGAATTAATGGGATTGGTTTTGCTGCCATAGGGATAGACATAACCC